ATTTGGGTGGGGGTAGGTTAGGATCAGAATCCAAATCTCTCCTTTTACTGTCTTAGCAATGTCATAGGGCCCTCTGCTGGGGACCAGTTTCTGCAGAGTGGTTTTTGGCAAGTGACTGAAGACATTCTGGAGCTCCAAATTTCAGCACTGCTGCCCTGTTGCCTCTCCTAGATGTTGCAAGAACATTCTTCTACAGAAAAACTTGGGATGTTTCCTCTTCTCTTGAAACTTAGGATAGTAGTAGGGTTAGTGCCCTGCCTTGTGAGATAGGATCCCATTCAACAAATGTGTTCTTCCCAGTGTTCCCTTTCCTTATCTGTACAGCAGGCCAGGTGTTGAATTCCTCCTGTAAACACTTCTTCTACAGCAAAGCATGGCTACAGTCATGTAATGAGTCTGCAGGCACCCTAGGCAGCTTTATGTGGGAAGTTGATGGGTTTAGCTGAACTATCAGGACAAAAACACTGCAGATTTGTGCCCAGTGCACCCCTGGGTACCTGTGCACAGCTCAGGAAGCTGTCTGGGCAGGGCAGAGCCCATCTTCTGCCAGCCCTCCCCTTCCATGCTGGGTTCTGTCACAACTGATTGCTCTTGGCAGCATTCTGGAAATATCAGATGGTGACATTAATACTGATCACAGGAAAGCTACAGATTAATGATGAAAGTTCTCCTAGAAAGGTCTTTGTGGATTGATAGTCAGCTGTGATCATAAAAGCAGTGCAGAAAATGAGCTGCATTCCAACACTGCAAGCACATGGGAAGAAAAGAGCTGGTGGAGACTTTTTAGTGCCTCTTCTTCCTTTTCTGGCAAGAGAAGTTAGTTATGGACCTCCCTAACCCTATCCTTATTTACGCAGCTCTGCTTCCTATGTTCTGTGTGTGACCAAAGCCCAGTGCTGCCGTGTGGGTGGGAGTGGATGAGGGCAGAAAATGAGTTGTGGGGTGCGTGCCACCTTTGTCTTTGGGGCAGTTGCAGATGTCGAAGCAGCCCCTGGGTCCCTGGTGTGTGATGTTCTCAGGTACCTTGTGCAGGTAGGTGTTAGGGCTCTTCCAGCTCTCTGCAGCAGTCACTCAGCTCTTGGGCTGCTTTGCTGGGTGTTGGCACAGGAGGGGGCTCCACCTTCTTGAAAAGTCACACAAAAAGTGGGCTCACAGCTAGAAACCAATTAGCGTTGGCTTCTGATTAATCACAACATAGTTGGCACTCATTAGATGCTCTTAAGCACTCAGACCCCATAGTGCTGGGAACCAGGAAAAAAAACAACTGCAGCCTAAGAGGCTATTAATGTTTGGTGAGAGTGTTGCTGCTCAGGGAATAGTAAGATATTTCTCCTGTGCATGAAATCTGAAAAATAATGAGTTCTAAAGTCTTCTAAAGAATAAAAGCATTTGTAAATGTTAATGGAAAATATCTGAACATCCATCTTAAGTGCTGGTATCTTCACCTCAAAGCCCCGCTCACTTCAGCGGGGTTATGATAAGGGTGCTTCAGTTCCAGCTTGTTACATGGCATTATACTTTTTAAAAAAAAACAAAAAACAAAAAAAAAAAAAACAAAAAACACACCCCAAACCCAAACTCTGTCAGTGCCTTTGCAGCCTGTTTGTAGCACGTTCCCTAAAGCTGTTTGCAGTGCCAGGAGGGCTGCTGGTACATTCCACTGCCTTGCTGATGGTGTTTGTCAGCAGCTTGGGCTTACAGCAACTGTCCTGTGCTGTTAACACCAAATAACATGGACCTACTCCTGCTTTCGGGGAGTGTGGCTTTCTGCAGCTGTATGGAGACTACAAAGAAGTACAAAGCTTGGCTGAAGCTATCTGTGGAGAATGGAGGGGCTGTTCCCCCTTGGAAGGGCCAGGGGGAAGAACTGGCCCAATGCTCCCCTTGTCATAGGATGGGTCCTGGGTCCCCACCCTTCTTTACATGGGGGTTGTGAGGGCACAAAGGACTCTTGGCTAGTCTGCAGTAGCAAATTCCATGCTGTGGATTTTATCAGGGATGCTAATGAATCACCCTGACCCCATGATGAAGCCCAGCCATTGTTGTTTTGCTGTTTCTGCACACTATTAATAAAGGCATTTTTCATCAAACAGTCCTAAAAACTTTTTATTGTCTCAAATTTGTTTTCTTGGTGCTCTCTTACACCTTCTCCACAACCAAGCACTTCAATGCCTATTACAGGGTTGTCAGGTCCTCTAAAGCCAAAATCTTTGACAGATGAAGCCGGAATCTCATTTTTGTGGGGATTCCTGCTGCTTAGGTTGCACTGTTATCACAGCAGGGAGGTGTTAAATTTCTTGATTTTTTTTTCTCCTCCATGTGTCAAAGAAGGAAAAACTGAGCCCCTGTTACAGAATACATTGCTTATTTAGTCTGTCAGGGTGGCAATTTTTACTTTTTTCCACTCTTGATGATGAAACTAATTCTCTCCTATCCTATTTATACTTTCTACTTACTGGGGGAGAAACTCTTTTGGTGCTGAAGCCCTGGGGTCACAGGGAAAGGAGCTAGGATATCATCTCTCTAAGGCTTTGTTAGATTCACATCATGTGTCACAAGTAAGAGCTAGATTCTTATGCAAGCAAAGAAAATAAAGTATGAGTTGCTGTGTGTGGTGTGCCTGTCTGCTGTAGTGGGCAAGTGCCAGATGTTCAGAAGAGCACAGACACCTGCACTGTACCCAAGTGCCTGGTTTGGATAGACTCATGCAGCCAAGAAAACCATACTTGCATTTTTTTTTTTGTTCAGAATTAGTGCCTTGACCATTAGATACATTTCATTGTACGGTTATCTTGCCTCCTTTGCAAGAAGAACCTTAGCCAAGAGTTGCAAATGTGCGCAAGCACGCTACACAAAATAATTCACAAGGGGTTGAATGTGCAGGTGGAAACCCACGTGCCTTCTGAATCTGCTGGCCTTTCTGGTTTTGGTCCTTTCAGTCTCTTGTTATCTTTGAAGCAGCTGCTGAGGGCTCTGAATGTCCAAGCAGGGTGGTTTAGGAGAAACATAATTTTGTAAAAAGGCTCTGGTCTGAGGCACAAACCTGCAGCTTTTGGGGTTCAGCTGTGTGATGTGTGCGCCCTTTCCTATCCCACGGTATCATCAGGTGCTATGTCCGTGCCTGCCAGGTTCCTGGTGTGCCTCTGCACCTGAAATCTTGACATTTGTGAAGTCTGCTTTTCTTTAGAAGCATTAATTCCTATTTGTGACCACCAAGTGGTGCTCTGTGCTGCACCTTGTGGGAAGGCAAGCTGTTAGCATTTTGGGATGGGGGGTTAAAAAGCTGTTTTCAGGCATGTGAACGAGCTATAGAGAAGAAAAAGAAGCGAGTCAAGAGCCCTTTTTTCCTCCTTGCCGTGGCTGTGCTGTGAGGGTTATGCATTATTCTCATCCTTATGCTGTGGCTGTGGGATGATTGATGTGGCTGGGTGATTTAGATGTGATAAGCAGCCTTGGCACTTCGATTCAGGTGTTCAGCTTGACTGCCTGCTAGGGTTTGGAGGTGCAGAGATGGATATCTGCTCCTTCAAAATTAGCTCCTGGCAGGCGCCTCCAATTAGCTTGCTAAAATCACAAGAACCTTCTGAAAACGTTGTTCTGAGCTAGTTTTTCAGAGATAAAATCTGATCCCTGTTTTCTCTTGACTGCTTTTTCATCCAGTCCATCTAGGGAAAGTGTGTTCATGGTCCCGTTCTCCAGTGTGCTGGCTGTTTAGCATCTTTGCTATTAAGTTTGGAAATCTTTTGTTTATAGCCGTGTTGCTCTCAGCAGAGGCAAAAGACCTACTTGAAGTCATCTTTGCAGGTTTCCTACAAGCGTTCTCTGTTTTCTGTTCTTGTGTGTACAGAGGCTGTGTGTTTTGTATGGAAACATGCAGCTTGAGAGAGAAAATTCCGACGTTGGTTTGAAATGATGGGCACATTATAAGACAAAAGCTGTCTGTAAAATGTAATGGGAATTTAAGTGGCGAACTACATCCCTGTAGGCTCCATTAGATGCTCTGCATGGTGTAATTGTTTACAGGAGCGATCATTCCTTTCCAAATACCAAAAGGCATGCTGTAGCAGAATGATGCAGCGGAATTCAAGTAGCAGCTCATTTGTATGAAATGCAGGGCTAAAACTGAAAGGTGGCAAGAGGAATTGTCCTGTCTGGTGAGCTGGAAAAAACATGCAGTGCTTTAAAGCAAATTTTTTATTGGAAGGAAAGGAAATGCTATGTAACAGCACTGTGAACGCCTTGATTTTATGATGTACATTGATTTCTTGAGGTGTTCTGAACTCTGAAATAGAGGCCAGCTCCCCCCGTTAATTAGTAAGCTGGATAGCCACCAATTAAAGAGATCCCCCCAAGTTCCCTAGTTAGTTTCTTGGTTATTTTGGGGAGCAGCCTTGCTGGAGTGCCACTGCATCCCAGAGCAGAAGGGAAAAGGGTGAAACATCACACAATTGATAAGGTGCAGATTGTTTTACTTACAACAGGTTCGACACATCCAGCCCCTGGGATGTCCCACCCAAGCTGCTCCAACTTATTGCTCCAACTTATTGACCTTTGGCTGGGTCATTAGTTGTTAATTTGGTCTTCGGCCCCCCCCCCAGCTAAACCAGCTCCTCAGCTGCTGGGTGATGGCTCTCCAAGGTTGGGTGCTCCAGGAGTTTTTTGTTAAAGGGCTGAGCAGAGCACCGTGTAAATTAGGTAAAGTGCATGAACATTATGCATTATTTTTTAGCTTTGAAAAATTAACCGCTGAAAATTCAATTATGTCATTATTCCAGGCGCTGTTTTCTCGCAGTGGGTGGTTCCGTTAGTAGCTATTAAATAGCTTGGACAGAACTTGTGGCTTCAGAAGTCCTTGAGTCTTTATAACTAAAAGGGAAGGCACAACTTTGCCTTTGGAGAGGTGGTAGCAGCAGGCTGTCTCGGTGCTCGCTGATAGAGATGTAAGAACCTTCTGCCTTGTGGGACCTTTCCTGATGCTACTTTTGTCTTTCTCTGTCCAGAGGGTGAGGAAGAGGAAGAGGATGAAGAGGAGGAGGAAGAAGAAGAGGAGGAAGAGGAAGATGAAGAGGACAAAGACATAGATTCAATGGATGAAAGCTTGGAAGGTGACACAGAGCTGCCGGGTTTCACGCTTCCAGGCGAGACCTCCCAGGAGCCCATAGCTGGCCTGGAAAACCCCGCGGCCCAGCTGGCCGGGGTGTCCTACCAGGTTCCTGACACCATCGAGTGGGAGCAGCAGAACCAGGGTCTGGGTAAGAGGAAAAGTCCCTTCTTCCCTTATCCTCATGGTGGACATGTCTCTTGCTCTTCACTTTGCATGGGACATCCCGTTGTGTTGGTGGCCTCATGGGTTGGCCTTCAAGCTCTGTCGCTAAACACAGAGCAGGAGCATTTCTGAGGAAATCCCGTCCCCCAGTGACAAACTGGGATGGGTCCCAGGTGATGTGCCCTGAGGTTTTAGTTTGGGGACAGCCTTTCTGAATACTCCAGACCTGTTCCTTCATTCCCAGAGCTTAGTGTTGTGTGGCTCCGAGGGTGGAAAAATGAATACTGCTCAGGTGAGACTCCTGGGGAAATTTTAGCACCCTTTGCCCGAGTTGGGTTGGTGCAGGGATATAAGTCCTGTGAGGATGAAGCAAATAGGGTAATTGCTAATCAGCCCATTGCTAGTTCAGCAGCATTCTTTTATGTGCCATTTTTCTGACATTTCTTCAGTGTTGTATGCCCAGGCATGGGACCCCGTGGTGGTTAAGCAAGACAGACCTGCAAGGCCTGTATAAAACTTTATATAGTTTATTCCCACTGTATGTATGTATAGACCCTGTGCTTTATGGCTGGACTAATTTATTCTGCCGAGAATTAGCTGATTCCTGTTTGCATGCGTGCTGTCCATCTGACGTGAGTCAAAGCTGGTGTGGGACAAGGTAGAATTAGCCCAGTTTGGCTACTTGGGAAGGGTACTGGGATCATTTTGTAGCAAATTCAATTTCTAATACAAACTCTATCAAAAGCAGTGGGAACCTTTCAGGTGAATCAGTGGGAGTTGAACCACATCTGTAGGGAAAGTCTCTGTGTGACTAGTAGTGATCTAGCTGTTTTGAGAGGCTCATCAAACGCAGAAACCCCAAAACTCTTATATGTTGAGTTATATCAACTGTCACCTCCCCTGGATTTATAGATGTGACATAACCTGATGTTTCTCCCTATGTAGTCCTATTTCCAGCCAGCTTGAGTGTTATTGGCTTCCTTTGAAATGAATCAAATAACTTATTTCAAGAGCCCTGTGAGAGGGTTGCCCTTTGTGGGCTGAGTTTGCATCAAGTCTGGTATCTCCCCGTCCCACTAACTCTTGCCTGAAAAGCATCGTTTCGGGTGGTTCATGTCAGATCTGCTTCACGTGTCCCGTTGTGCCACCAGGCTGGACAGGAGCTGTGTCAAGGGAATAATTCTAATATCTAGTGGCTCTCTGGCCGGCTTTGGCAAGCTGGATTAGAGAGATACGTGACAGTGCTGGGAGGAAAAGCACAGGAAACACGGGGTTATGATGCCCATCAGGTACCTTGGTAATGAGGCAGGAGAATAAGCAGCAGCCAGAGGCTGAAGGTACCCTGGTGTGCAACAAACCTCTCTGCCTGGAGAGGCTTTAATAACTATGCACAGAAAATAAGTGGTGCTGGGCTATGAAACACCATATAGCTTTAACACTCCTTGTGTTGTTATTTGTTAGGAGCAGGATGCTCCTTACAGTATCTTTTTCTGAACGTATGGGACCCAGTTCTGTTTCTGATGTTTATTATTACTGCATCCTGCAGCTTTCATCCTCTACCACCTTTTCTCTTTCTTAGACCTTGACAAGGTTGTCTTTCCAAAAAGCTCAGACTTCGAATGCGTTGACCGTGCAGCAAAACACAAGGTTTTTGTCCCTCACATGTATTTTACTTACCCTCATGCAAACTGGCGGAGCCTGCTGTGAGGTCTGTCACGTTAGTTCAGCTGCAAAGTGCCAAAGCCCAGGCACCTGAAGGACTGGGCAGGTGTGAATTTCTGCTTTCTGTGTAAGTGCCTCACTGAGTTATGCATCACTGCTTCCAAATAGTTTGGCTTGTCTTCATTTTGAAGCTGTTGCAGTCTGTGCATACTGCCACGAGGGAGGGGGTGAGCAGAGCTCATCCTCAGGGGCTGGGTGGGACTTCTGTGCTGAGACGGTGTGGAGAAAGGAGGGGGAGCAGTGGGATCACTCTATACTTTGACTCACCTCTCTTATTCTACTAGGTAAACACTTTCATAAAGAGCCATTTATTCTTTTTCTGGCTAGATGACCTAAACATCTTTTTGATATCGGCTCCTTCCCCATCTAGAGTGTGCTTATGTGCTCATCTTCCCCATCTACAGTGCTCCTAAGAGGAAGGGAAATTATCTGTGCTTTAGACAGAGGCACAAAGAAAACCAAGGACTTGCATCAGCTCACCTGGAAAACCCAAGGCCACTCAAGGAACTGAACCCAGGTGTTCACAGTGCTCTATGCTGGGAGTGGATGGGGAGCAGGAGATGCCAACAAGGCTGGAGCATCTCCACGGCAGACGTGAGCAGTGCTGGGCTTCTTCTCCCATCTTCCCACTTGTGCCACGTGGGTTTTTTTTTCTTAGGTCCCTTGTCCAGGGTGAGTGTGCACAGCCAGGGCTGGTGCTCTGTGTGTACCTGGTCCTGGCTGCACGCTTCTTTATGGTGCACATTAGCAGGGGTGCTCAGAAAGGAGAACAGACAGGATGGAAAAAAATATATAGCTTGTGCCAGCAGGAGGTGGATTGTTAAGAAGAAAAGAAATACCCCAAACCTGACAAGAGGCCAGAAGAGCTGCCCACATCGTTCTGCTGGAGTGTGTGGAGAGACCAGGTGTACTGTGAAGGGCTCGTAAAACTTCAGATGTGCTGGACACGTGCATAGACTCTTTGAAACCCTTTTTCTCTAAGTGCTTTTCTTCCAAAGGTAGCTCTTTGAAATCCATTTCCTTTAAGTGCTTTTCTTCTACAGCTAAAATTAACTTGACTTTCATTTTAAGACAGCTTCATAGCCGCAGTACATCCCTAGTCACAGCTCTGGAGAAGGGAGGACTGCAGTTCTGAATCCACCTGGGCCAGGGCATGCTGCACCTGCCTGTCTCAGCCCACGGTGAGTCTTGGGAATGGGCAGGGAGGTGCAGAGCTCTTCCCTGGGATCCACAAGCAGTGCTGAGGAGTGAAGAATTTCCCATTCTGCGCAAATGAAATATGGCTTAGAGGGGAGGTTATTCTGCTTAACCTGGGATATGGCACGGTAAGGGAAGTCCTGAAGACAGGTAACAGTACCCAGCGAGGTAAAAGGTAAGGGCACACCAGAGGAGACAGGGCAATGCAGTCCTGTGACCAGGACAACGTGGATTTGTATACTTCAGTTTGCAGATTATTGACTCAATAGCTTGCAACAGATCCTGTGAAGTTACTGCAGTCTGCTTTATTAATGACTGGTTTCTCTAGGAGATAACTGAAGATGTTTCTGCTGGAGTAAATTACAGTACACACACTGCAGTCAATTTTTCTACCCCTGTGTTTGTTTCTGTCACTGTTCTGCTAAATGGAGAAGAGGAATGGGCTTGTTTCTTCTGGATTCTCTTTTTTTGCTCCCTAAACATCAAACTTTTACAGTTGGCATCTTCCATCGTTTAAATGCTTTGCACATACATCCTTCTCCTGGGGTGCATCTCTCCTCTGGCCTTCAGAATTTTGAGATTTAACTCTAAAATCCATAGCACAGAAGAGTCCAGAAGTATCGGAGTAGCTGTACTCAGGTCAGTTATTATTGAGTTTACTTTGATATCTGACATGCCGAAAATCCCTAGAGAATGAGTGACTTGATCCACAGACAGCTTGGCAAAGCAAGAGACAGTTTGGATTTTTGTAGTGGTCAATGAAAAAATGCCAGAGAAAGAGGATCATTAAAAATGTCAATTCTGGGAAGTCAGATGGTCCTACATTAACTCCAGCTGAGCAAAAGCAATTTATATCCACCAGTAATGAGGCTGTCAGTTTTACAGTACATCAGTTGACTCTCTAAACGGCAATATTTAGACCAAAAAAAATAGAAGCTGATCCTCCAAACGCTGCTCTGATGGCCTGAGTCTCTGGAGAAGAAAGGTCTGAATATGCTTCGGGATCTCTGTTGGTGTCCTGTTCAAATGCTTTGTCTCCAGATGTTGCTAGCAAAGGACATGTTGGCAGTACTTTGGGATCCCTCTGAGATGACCTGTCTTCTTTTTGGATTTGTACCTGAGTGGCATGTAGCAGGTGAACACAAACTGTTTGGAGAACATCAGACGGGCAGGAAACTTGGGCTTTCTGGGAATGAATAAAAATTTATCATTTTTTGGTCCACAATCAGGTAGGGGGAGGAGGACCGGGGCAATTTGCTAATCCTCTAACTTTGCTGCTTTGGGGCTTAAAGTGAGTTTGCTTTGTGCATTCAAAATGTGTGGAGTTGTTTGGAGCAACACTGGGATTTGCTTCTTGAGGCTTACAGGGTTGTGACTTTTTGAATTGCATGGCTCACATCACCTACGTAAAGGGTTATGGTGGAATTTGGTTCTTAAAGATGTTGACTGAAACCCAGCAGCTGCTTATCATAAGCCACCACTAATATGAGATAACAGTAAACAGAGGAGAAATGGATTTGAACCAAAAACATTAACAGAGGAACCTGTTGTTATGCTCAAAATCTTGTTTTATGGGCAGAGAGAAGGCATATCTCATCTGTACCCAAAACCAAGAATTTACTGCTAATATAATTGAAATCTTAACTATTTAATTATTGTAATTATTATTAGACTATATATAGCTATTATAACAGGAAAAAAAAAAAGAGGAAATAATTGTGTTGGTACAACTGCTGTACCTACACTTCTTGGTTTCTGTGCCTTTTCCTGGTGTTATGCTCACCCTTCCCTCGCATCTGTTAGCATTAAGGTCAGTGGCTTCATTCTGGGGTTACTGGTGGGCTTGTTAGCGTGGGGTCAGCAACATCTGCAGTCCTTTGCCTGGAGGAATATAAAGTTCATGTTGATAGTTTCTTCTTCCTCAGTCTAGGATACAGTTAAAGTCATTTTTATGTGTTTACTGACACAATTTTTCATCTTGCCCTTTCTTTATTGATCTGCAGCTCCATATTACATCTCAGCTAGCTATTTATGGTGGCTTTTATGTATTTTAGATACTCTTTATGT